ATCCCTGCTGGTCCCTGTGCTCTGTGCCTAACAGAAGACATGTATAAAGGCCAGGACAGGTGGGAGAAGTGTGGCGGAAGTCACTGCTGGACACATAGGAACCTCCCCCATCTCAGGAACGATGACCTTGTCTCCTTTATTAATGTCTATCGCCTCTTGGTAAGAGGGGAAGATTCATGTTTTCTGGAAAGCTTTTTATAATAACTGTCTGAGCTTAATCTACTCACTGACTTGGCCCCCCCCCCGTTTTTTTAAAATCATTTTATTGGGGGCTCTTACAGGTTACCTAACAATCCATACATTAATCTTATCAATTGCATTTGTGCATATGTTGCCATTCTCATTTTCTAAGCATTTTCTTTCTACTTGAGCCCTTGGTCTCAGCTCCTCTTTCGTTAATCCTTGATAAATTAGAAATTATTTTTATTTCCATATCTTACATTGTCCCCTGTCTCCCTTCACCCACATTTCTCCATTTAACTGACTCCGCCCATTTCTTGTGTATGTTTTACCTTCAGCAAGGATCATCTTTTTGTTTCAAAGAGATGCATTGTGTTGTGAAAGACAAACCAACCAGCCAACCCATGAAACAGCAACAGCAAAGACCACCCAAACCTACTGCTGTAGAGTTGATGCCAATTCACGGTACCCCTGGGAGTCACAGGGCAGATCTGTGCCGTAGGCTTTCTGGTGTGTAGTCTTTTCAGAAACAGATTGCCAGGTCTTTCCGTCGTGGTGCAGCTGGGTGGGCTTGCCCTTCAAACTTTCAGGTTCCTAGACCACTGGATACTCTTTGCACTGATAATTGGCCCAGTCTTCTGAAACTCTGAATTTGAACCCTATCTCTCTGCTCCCTAGCCATTTGAACCCTGAGGGACTCTGATTCCAAGTCATGTTTCCCCATTGGTAAGCTACAGGTGATACGATATCATCACACTGTGAGAATCTAATGGGGTATCATGTTCTAAACTGTGGACTGTATACATATGCTTCTCTGTCCTTAGTTCTTCAGTGAAACTTTCCGTATCAAGTCTGCACCTAAGCAAAAACCAGGACTGCCCTGTTTCCCCCACTCCCAGTAGGCTTGATTGAAGAAAACTTCTTCTAGTAATTTTGGGAGCAAGAGTGTGGTAGCAAATGTACAATTCTGCTGGACATAATTGAACTATGGGATGATTTCATATATGTTTTTAATACCAATTAATATAAAAGTTAAAAAAAATTACTTGTATTTTGTATGGTCTTACTGAACTGCTATCCTATCTCTATAATTTGTGGAGAACAAACACGTGTGTCTTTTTCTGATGGGGGGAAATTGAAAATAGGAGCAAACAATTAAATTTTCCTATGATATCACAATTGAGTATCCTTACAAAGTTCGCTTTTTTACCCTCCTAATTAAAGACAGTAGACAGATACTCTAAACTTGATATCTATAAGGGGATTAAATTTTAAGTACAGCTAGGGGACAGAATCTGAGATCCCTTGGCATCACCTCTGCAATCCCATAGAATTCTACATACTTTTCATCATTTATGGGACTTAATATAAATGTGTCAATATTTAAAAACTGTATAACTGATTCTGGTTATATTATTATGCCAAGCATTCGTATTAATTTGGGGGCCTTTTGCTATTATGAATGTTGAAGTTTTGATGTATTCTATTTTCCTTTTACAAAGAAATTTCCATTAAAGAGCATTGCCAAAATAAATCACTCTAAACATATATGGCACAAAGTGTATTTCATAGCCATTAGGCTTGGATAAAAAGGTGGATGTTTCAAATGGACATCCCTTTAACCGAATGGAGGAGTAAAATCCCATCTCAATCATGCATGCAAAAGATGACTGAACAATCTAAAATTCTTCAGGACAAGAGACTGGTCACTGTCTTCTAATGGAGGTGACCTGGATATAGACTCCCTTTCTACTAGTACACGTGTGGCCTGGTTGGACCCTGTTGTTAATGAGACTGAATCCTACAGACGTCCCTGATGTGGGCAGTGAACCTACTTCTGGGTTGGAGTTGCCCCCACCAAGCCTGCCTGTGAGGGTGCTTTTGAGCAAATCAGCGATCACTGCGAAGAAAAAGAATTTCAATCCGCAGGCCAGTTTTCATCTCAGGAAGACAATAGATGATTTCAAACTCGAAGAAAAAGGAGGGCTTATTAAACAGTCTATCCAAGCAAACTAAAACCAATTCAAGTAGTTAAAACTTGTGGAATTTGTGATACTTCACAAAGTGCTTCAACATGAATTGTGTGCTCTTGGTCTCCCATTAACCCTGGGGGGTAACCTGGCCAATCACAGCCTCTTTTTATCAATGAGAAACAGAGCAATCCATAACTCTGATGTTAAGTTATGAGCCCCAATAAGGTTCCACAGCTAGGACACAGACGGGGACTCATTTGCAGGTGTCACAACTAAGAGTAACATACAATGAGAACAATACAACGTTTAATCTTTCAAGTGGATGGTATTTGACAATTGAGAAGGTAAAACAAAATAACAGCAAAACACATCACCTTTCTGAGGCTCATCAAAAACATCGTTGAGCGATGCTTGGTCACAGGTAATGGTAAAAAACCAACAACCCATCAGTTGATTCCATCTCATAGAATCAACTCTACAGGATGTTGGATTCAGTCAATTTGTACTGGAGCAGATCGCCCCAGATTCTCCCTTGGAAAGACTGGTGGGTTTGAACTGTTGACCTTGCAGGTAGTGGCCCAACATATAACCCACGACACCATCAGGGCTCCACAGTGAATGGTGCCCTGCCCAAACGATTTTGAGTCACCAACCCATTGCTTGATTTATTAAGCTAGATTATTTTTGTAGTCACATTTATTTAATCCTACTTTACGACACTGGCGAGGTAACCCTGGTGGCATAGCAGTTACAAGTGGAGCTATCATCTGCAAGGTCAGTAGTTCAAAACAATCAGCCGCTCTGTTAGAGAAAAACAGGACTTTCTACTCCTGTAAACAATGAGAGTCTGTGTGCTACCCTGAGCGGCAGTGCTACCCTGTCCTGTGGGGCCACTAGGACTTGGCATAAACACGATGGCAGTGATTTTGAGGGTTGTTGCTGTTGTTATGACATTGACTGGGTGTATAAGAAGAAGCCGGGAGAGGCTAATATTTGGATATACTTTTAATTTCTGGGATCCTTGAAACTCATTAACTTCAATTCCATTAAAACTCTTTAGGAAAGTCTTCCAGAAATTGTTATTTCTGACAGAGGCAGACATAGGGGAATTAATGGAATTCTTGGTGGTTAGCAAACTGATAATACTGAGATGTATTCTAAAGAAGGTATTAATTACATCCTAAAAGTCTCATTAATGATGGGTTTTAAATGCCCATCATTATTGTTGTTGCCAGGTGCTTTTGAGCCAGTTCCAAGCCATTGCGATTCAATGGACCACAGAATGCAACACGGTCTGCTCCTCTGAGCCCACTGTTGCGACCACCAAGTCAATCCATCTCGTTGCGGCCCTTCCTCTTCTTCACTGCCCCCCATACTTTACCAAGCATGATAGTCTGTATAGACAGGTCAATATACAAGGGGGTCCAAATAGTCAAAAAATGGAATAGCAAGATAATGAAACATTTCCATAAATGTTTTGAAGCCCCCTGTACATGCCTAGGCTAGTTTCTAAATGGCTACAATACTCTTTGAGAGGTGTGGAGAAAATGAATTAATAACATTCAAAAACAAACAAACCATCTTGCCCAGAGAGGCCAAATCCATTTTCCCACTGTGAGATGGGAGTTCTAAGCCAACATCAAAGGATGACCCGATGATGTGTTCTGTTAGCTGATCAGTAACAAGATGAGCCTGGCCTCCCCAATACTCAGGACATTGAATTTGTTTGGCAAATCATGTGTGGGTGAGAGGAAATAAGACTGGCTGGTGATTGTCCTCAGTGAAGTGTCCACTGCTGGTAGGACCTGATCAGGACACTGATAGTGTGGGCGGGTCCAATATAGGATGGGAATGTTAGTGAGGGTGGACGTGTATGTCTGTACGTGTATGTCCGTGTGTCTGAGGGGCTGTAACGGGGGAGGATTCAGAAGAGAGATAATGGAATGGAACATAGTTGTGGTGAGAGGGGAGCTATACAGTAGAAAATCCATCAAAATGTGCCCTTGTATTTGTAATGCACAGGTTTATAAACCATGCAAGTAGTTTAGGGGCTTTGTAGCTCTTTGAAAATGCTGAATAATGTTATTGAGTATGCTGAACAGATGTTAAGTAGCTGTGTGGGATGACCCCCTTGGCGACACTTGTAAGGTCAGAGTGCCAAATCAACGATGTAATGCAAAAGGCACAAGAAGAAAATACTTTAAACTTCCCCATTTAAAGGGCTTTTGGAGAAAAAATAGTAAGAGAGGGGAAATCTGCAGCCTTTATAGCTTGTTAAAGAGAAGACCTCTTTATGTACTTTCCACACAGTGGTTTCAAATTTTGTAAAATAACACAGCATAATTCAGGTTCTATTTTGAGCTGCTTAAGACTGAATCGTAGAAAAGGCATCTCTTCTCTGGATGGTTAGAGTCGCAGCTCATTTTTAGTTTGAAAGTTCTAAATTCTGGAGTAGGCAATCTGATGGTTATATGCAGTAGGCCAATAAAGGAAATAGGAAAAACATTATGCTAGCTAAAATTTGGTTATTGATTTTTCATGAGAAATTCACTATAACCTGGAATTAGGTATCAGGAAGGCACAGAGAAAAGGCACTTTAAACAGATAGTAGCTTCATAAATGCTGAAAACTGCTAAGTGTAGCAGGGTTTTTTTGTTTCGCTTTGTTTTTTAAAAAAAGAGAGATGAAATCATTAGCTAAGGTCTGCTTGGTTTGGCAAACAAGATTTACTGTGAATGCTTCTAAAATCCTCTAGTATTTGCAATGTTTATAACATAAACTTTTTCCAACTCAAGAGTTCCCTAATGTTGGCCCACTGGACAGATAACAAAGGTTCCATATACTTACATTCAGTTGGGTGCTTCTAATAAAATCCAGTATTGGCAAGATGCGCTTCCCCATGGTCTCCATGTGTCTGATGGCGTCATCTCGGGTCAGCAGACCGAAGGGAGTTTTATGTTCTAAAAATCATGACGACAAACTTTTAGACTATCATTTCCAGACTGCCAATTCAAAATGTTTCCTTTAGCTAGCTCTACACAGACACCCCAATGTTCATAGATATGAAATCTTCAGGACAGAAACCAGTCCCAACCCCAGACCATCTGCGCAGCAATGAAAGTTCCGTGAGGAGAAAGACAGAGGACACACTGCCCTTTAGAGAGCTATCGCTGATTCATGGTGCTGTGTCTCCTGCCTGAGAGATCGACGAGACAGCCTATCACAATTCACCTATCTCACAGAGTGTGTTTTTCCTGAGCTGGGAGAAAACGTTGTCATAAATGTGTCTGATTCTTGTCTTGCTCCTCCCAGGTATTATTCAAGTGTGCAGATCCCACTGACTTTGAAGGTAACTCAGAGTTGAGATAAGCCTCAGAGGGCACATCGGCAGACGAAACACAAAGCCTTAATTAGGTGGGCAGAGCTAGCGGAAGGAATAAACTGAACCCGGTTCGGAAACCAGCCCACAAGTTTGAGACTTTACCACGGTCTGAATAGTTTCTCGGATTTTTGGAGGTTGCTCCATCTCATGGTCATTCTCCTTGCCAGATCTAAACTCTTGCCTCATTGTGGAAGAAGATCGGAATGGATTCTTTTAAAAACGATAGCAGATAATCCAGGGGATTTAAGCTTGTTGTTGCTGTCTTTTTATTTCATAGGATAATTCTGTTTCTGGTTCTGTCCTAAGATTAGGCACTGGTGGAGTGGTGGCTGAGACGAGATGATGGGAATGAGGGGCAGAGGCCACTCCATGACTGCTATTTGGGGAACCCTTTCCTGAACGTAGAATTCCAGATATTGTTAGCTAACCCAATATAAGACAATAAAAACAAAAACCACCCCCTACCCCCCAGTACACTGCCATCATATCTACTGTGAGCCACGCTTCTTGAGACTGTAAGTCTTTTCAGGAGCACAAATCCTCAGCAGTCTCCACCTGAGCAGTTGGGCGGGTTGACCCCTGACAGTGAGGTACGCAGCTCCACACCGAACCCACGTCATCACCGCACTTAAAACTCCCTGCCGTGGAGCTGATGCTGACTCACAGCAACCCCCAGGACACAGCAGGGGTTTCTGCAACTTTAAAATCTTGACAGGAGCAGACAGCCTCATCTTTCTCCGAGTGGCCGCTAGGTTCAAACTGTTGACCTTGTGGCAAGCAGCTCAATGTACAGCCCTCTGCACCACCAGGGTATCTTTCAGCACCTCTTTGGTGACTCCTGACAAGATAAGAGGGGCTAATAATAGCCACACAAACACTTTTTGAGATATAGGCTCTACCATCTGTTTGGTCTTGTGATGAATTAGCAGGAGACAAATACAGTTCCCGCCTAAAGCAGTATTGAAGGATAATAAGTTCAAGTGATTTACCTGTAAATGTTGGCAGCTTCCTATTTGATACTTTTTCCAAAAATTTCCCATCTTCTTTGTTTTTGAACCCAAGAGTCAAGAGATACTGTTGGGGAGGAAAAGATGACCAGTCAGTTGTTTGGGGCAGGACGTGGGGTCCTTGAAGATCTGAAAAATAGCAGAAATAGAATTATGAAGCTTTGTTATTATTTTATCATTTTTTTCAGAGTCCTTCCCCCCACCCCCTAGATTTTATAAATGAGACTTGGAAATAAAGATCAATATGCACATTAAAAGTGTAAAGTAAAATTGACATGCATCAACAGGTAAAATAGATGATGCATCAAAATTCCATTTCATTTTTAATCTGTCTTCCTTAGAAATCTAAACATACAAAAAACCTCATAATAAAATATGTCTATATTACGTATCCATCTTCTCCCATATTCAAAATAGATTATCCAGGCTTATATTTTTTCTGTGGGATTTGTTTAAAGAAAATTTGAGTTTCTGTTCATGGTTGAAGATTTAAGCAAATATTATCTGGCAGAAAAGAGAAAGGTCACCAAGTGAGAATTAAAATACAAGGCCAAATAATTTAGTCAACATCCTTCCCGTAATGACAGAAGAAAATTTAAGGTAATAAATGAACTGACTTTTAAAATTAGAGTTGGAAATAATTCAAGTGTCATCATTCGAGTCCTAAAACAAACCTGTCTCTTCATGACCCGAGCACTAATTTTCTTCTTGTCCTTATTGTAAGTGGTTTGTGGGCACGGGGGTGTTAAATCCTCACAGTAAATTTACAAGGTTGATGCTACTGTTCCCACTTTATGGATTGGACGTTGAGGCACACAGATGGGAAGTAATCTGCCCAAGTACCCTGTCTGGGGGTGGGTGAGGCAGGAGTCCCACCCGCTCAGTCTGACTGCAGAGACCACAGGCCTAACCATTGCATGCAGTGTCAGGCTTGCTTGGCTCTAGGTGGGTCTTCAGAAGTGACAGCAGTCGGTCATGGGGTCTTGGAGGCTAGAAGCAGTTAATTCATGTCCATTTCGAGTGACAAAGCATGGTTACATGGTAACAGACTTCTCCAATGAGCAATGATGAACAGAGTGGTTTAAACCAGCTCTTCCTGCTCAGTATTACTGGAAAGGGGACAGGGTAAGACCTCGAATATTCTTGAATTAAGACTTAGCTTAAGGTCAATTTTTTCCCCCCACATGGAATCAGAAACTCAAATGACTGGCTTAAATATAGCCTTCACTGTTTACTTTTAATATTCCTTTCGAATATAATGGATACAGCAAATCTTGTGTGTTTCCCACCACCGTTTAGTGGCACAACTCTTTGTTCAAACGACGATTTCCTTGGATGCCCCGTAGTTAAAGCTGACAAGGAGAACGACTCTGCTTGTAGCC